TATCTATCCTGACAGATGATTTGGCCTGTCACCCTTGTGTGGAAGTAAAGGATGAGATTCCCCTACTACTCCGCCTGGGGTCTCCAATGTGGTGCACCCAGCCTCCACTCACACTATTCCTATGCTGGGGAATTTGGGGGTGGTTTGTGGGGATGTTATGTACTGAGTTGAATAGGATCCAAAATGCTACAGTCTGATTGGTCCTAGAACAATAGGATCCAACATGCAGCAGTCTGATTGGTCCTAGAACAATGCAGCAGTCTGATTGGTCCGCAGGAGCCACCCAATCCAGCTCCAGGTGGAAGTGAATCCACAACCTGATTGGCCTACAGGAGAATCCCAGAATTAGCCAATCACGTGCAGCCCATTGTGTAAATAATGTATATAAAGCAGATATTGTGGGGGAACTTTCATTCCTCGCTACTATGAGCTGAATATAGAGCATGAAATCCACTCTCGACTCCGAGTATATTTCAGGGGAAGAGCTGTTTGGGATATTTCCTGCTTGTGAATTATTATTTGTGTGTGTGTGTGTGTGTGTGTGTGTGTGTGTAAAACACATGCCTAAAGCTTTAAATCTGGGATGGGCATGGAAGTTCCGAGGTGGGCCACCAGGTGGCACTGCAGGCCATGCTCCAGCTGCTGCTGCTGCTGCTACAGGTGCCAGTAAGTCTCGCATTTTCAACCTCTTCCTCCTCCATTGCACTGGCTAAATGATTCCTTGCTGGACTCCCATCGCTGAGGCCAAATGTACCTTTACCGAGCAAAATATCCTTTCGAATTATACACCCAGCACATGGAACCTGACAAAGGGGCAATACAAGCGGACTCTCTGTGCCCTTACCACAGTAAAAAGACTGATACTGGTGAGCTGGAAAAATAAAAATGCGTCTCCCTTCTATGATTGGATTGAAGACTTCTACAAACTCACCACATATGAACAACCTGCAGATAAACGCAGACTTGCCATGGACAAATTCAATGATACAGTGGTACCTCGGGTTAACATACACTTCAGGTTACAGACTCTGCTTGTAGCCTTTTTAGCCTCGGGTGAGAAGAGCTTTGCGCCCGGGACGGGGAAATGGGAGTCAACAGACACTCAAGGAATAGTTTCAGAGAAAAGCTTTATTCTGCCATCCGGGGTGGCAGAAGGAGCAAGTGTGATAGATTCACAAAACAAGCATGAGTTCACAGCCATTTGCGCAGAGCATATATTCCCCTTCCAGTTCCCTCCCCTTTCTCCTCCTCCTCAAGAGTCCTGCCCCATTGTGATGAAATTCCAGTGCCTGTCTTCGGAGAACTTCCTGACATTAGTGACGAAGATGCCTCCAGTGCTGAAGGACATGAAGAAGAAGTGGTTCTTGAAGATGATGCTCCACATCCATTTTCCCAAAAGGAGTTGAATGATCTAGTTCGCGACCTCAGCTTGTCAAAGGACTCTGCCGAACTGTTGGCATCCAGATTGAAGGGGGAAAAACTCCTCTCTGACATCAGCTTCTTCCGCAACAGGCATCAAGAGTACCTCCGTTTTTTCTCAGAAGAGAAGGACTTGGTGTACTGTGCAGATATTGCGCAGCTTCTGCTCAAGCTTGGAGTGCCACAGTACGAACCCAAAGATTGGAGACTGTTCATTGACAGCAGCAAGCGATCACTGAAATGTGTTCTGCTACACAACGGCAACCAGTTTGCCTCTATACCCCTGGCTCACTCGACTACACTGAAGGAGAACTATGAAGCAGTGAAGTATGTGCTGGAGAAAATTGGTTATGGTCAGCATAAGTGGTTTATTTGTGTTGACCTGAAGATGGTGAACTTTTTGTTGGGACAACAGTCTGGCTTCAACAAGTACCCATGTTTTCTGTGCATGTGGGATAGTAGGGACCGTGCTCAGCATTACACGAAGAAGGACTGGCCTGTGCGGGAGGAATTGGTGCCTTGCAAAGAAAGGAACGTCATCAACGACCCTCTGGTGGACAGAGACAGAATACTCTTCCCACCGCTGCACATCAAGCTCGGCTTAATCAAGCAGTTCACCAAAGGCTCTGGACAAGGATGGTGACTGCTTCACTTGTGCCAGGATTGACCATGGAGAAGTTGAAAGCTGGCATCTTTGACGGTCCTCAGATCCGTCAGCTCATCAGAGATCCAGAGTTCGGAAACTCAATGAAGGAAATGGAACTGGAAGCGTGGAAGGCATTTGTTCTGGTAGTGAAGAACTTTCTAAGCAACAATAAGGTCAGAAACTATGCAGAACTTGTCAACAACATGCTGACTGCTTTCAGAAACCTGGGCTGCAACATGAGCGTCAAGATGCACTACCTATTTTCACATATGGACCGGTTTCCTGAGAACCTGGGTTCAATGAGTGACGAGCAGGGGGAGAGATTCCATCAGGACATGAAAGAGATGGAGACCAGGTATCAGGGTCGCTGGGACGCAGTCATGATGGCTGACTACTGTTGGACTCTGAAGAGAGACCTCCCTGCCGCTGAGCATTCCAGGAGTTCCAAGAAACGGAAGTTCAAGCCCTGAAGTTTGAAAAATGGTGAAGCAACATGCAATTTATGTGTACTTACCTTTATCAATGCCCACCATTCAGTTTACAGTAATCGATGTTTCTATCAGGTAATCAATATATGTTCTTGGAAAAACATTATTTTCTCTTAAAAACATATTTAGGATGATATGTGTTGACAAAAATCAGCTGATAATGCCACAAAATGTAATCGGTTTTGTCACAAGATCTGATTTTTTACAAATCAACATAGCGCAACAACCTGACCTGATGGAGAGAAACGGATGCCATTTCCTGATTCAGCAGTGCAAAAAGACACTAAATCAATTGTAGAAATCTAGACAACATTCAAAAGGTAAAAAATTGTTGCCCAGTGTATAATTTAACATCTTTTGGGGGCAATTCCAAACCTGAAAGGCCTCTGGTTTCTTTATAAATGTATATTTCAACATTTTTTTTCAATTCATTATAAATCTTTTCCCAGAAGTCTTTCACCTTGGGGCAGGTCCACCACATATGATAGAAAGTACCTTCGTTTTCTTTACATTTCCAGCAATGGTTATCACAGTTATGATAAATCTTTGCTAATTTAACAGGGGTCAGATACCATCTCGCATTTTCAACCTCTTCCTCCTCCATTGCACTGGCTAAATGATTTCTTGCTGGACTCCCATCGCTGAGGCCAAATGTACCTTTACCGAGCAAAATATCCTTTCGAATTATACACCCAGCACATGGAACCTGACAAGGGGGCAGTTTTTTCATTGATTATTTATTGATGACCCTGTTCTTCCTTGGATTTCAAAGGCTGCACTGGTTGCTGGCCTCCTGTTGCCCCCCTCCCATCCACCCCCTGGTCTACATGAAGGAGCGGGAGGCTGAAGAGGTTAGGGTAAGAAAAGATGGAAAGGCAACACCATTAAAAGTAAGGTTCATCTATTTGTACTCCAGCAACCAGGTGGTGGATGCCACCAATCCTGATTTATAAGGCGAGAGATAAGCTGTGCTCATGAGGAACTGTGAGGCCAGAGCGAACCTGGCTTCACGAGGAATGAGGCTGGCCTCTGATTCATGAAGACTTCAGGGACATCTCTTATGAAGAAGAAAGAGAACCACTTCTCTTTCCTTTTTCCCTTTTCCATTACAGTGCATATTTATTTGCATAAAAATTATACCCCAAAAATCCTCAAAGCAGGGGAAGAAACCAGCTGGTCATCCTTGGAGAACCACAACAAATTTTAAACTTCCTTTACTCATCCTTGCGTTTGCGCACTTCCTCCCCAGGCCCAGGGAAGTATTTTGAGCCTGCTTCGGTTGCTGCGCAGCAGAAGGCCATGCAGTATTATGAGTCATGGGGTGGGGAGAGGGTGTGTATGAATTCAACAGCGCTAGGCTTATTTTTTGGTTGGCGTTTTCTTAATGTTAATGCTGTTTTATAGATTATGAATGCTGTAGTACTTTATGAATCCTATAATATGACTTTGTCGTATAATATGACTTTCTCGTAATAAGCTTTTTGTTTTGACTATGGCAGACCAACACGGCTACCTATCTGTAACTCGTAATAAGCTGTTTAGCTTATTTTTTTAGCTGTGGTGTTAATAGTGTTTTATAGATTAAAAGGTTAAGGGACCCCTGACCGTTAGGTCCAGTCGTTACCAACTCTGGGGTTGCGGCGCTCATCTCACTTTACTGACCGAGGGAGCCGGCGTACAGCTTCCGGTCATGTGGCCAGCATGACTAAGCCGCTTCTGGTGAACCAGAGCAGTGCACGGAAATGCCATTTACCTTCCCGCCGGAGTGGTACCTATTGATCTACTTGCACTTTGATGTGCTTTTGAACTGCTAGGTTGGCAGGAGCAGGGACTGAGAAATGGGAGCTTACCCCATTGCAGGGATTTGAACCGCTGACCTTCTGATCGACAAGCCCAAGAGGCTCAGTGGTTTAACCCACAGCGCCACCTGCATCCCTATACCAAGGTAAAAAAGTAAAGGTAAAGGGACCCCTGGCCATTAGGTCCAGTCGTGACCGACTCTGGGGTTGCAGCGCTCATCTCACTTTATTGGCCGAGGGAGCTGGCGTACAGCTTCCGGGTCATGTGGCCAGCAGGACTAAGCCGCTTCTGGCGAACCAGAGCAGCGCACGGAAACGCCGTTTACCTTCCCGCAGGAGTGGTACCTATTTATCTACTTGCACTTTTTTGTGTGCTTTCGAACTGCTAGGTCGGCAGGAGGTTTTAGAGTACAATTGTTTTACTGGAGATTTATATTCTTTATCAATGTTTCTGAGACGTCCTATTATGCTGCAATTTATTGTTTGTAAGCCGCTTTGTGATTCATGTGAATGAGAAGTGGCACAGAAATGTAATAAACCAAGCCAGAGGTCTGCTGTGCGTCTGGCTGGGCCGGGGCCCCGATCCTGCAGGCTCTTCACCAGCCTCTCTTACACAAGCGCCACGCTTTGGACAAACCACATTTTCAGCGCAGAGTGGGACCCCTGCAAGGATGAACCCAGACCTTCCCTGCGGGTGTCTCCTTCGCCGCTTCGCGTCCCCCTGGCCTTCCTGAGGGCGCTGCGCACCATTTCTTCTTCCCGCCTCATTCCATCCCTCGCAACAACCCGGCCCGGGAGACTGGGCGAAGGACATCATGGCCGGACCGAGGTCGCGTGTCTTAAAAAGTGGAGCCCTGAACGCGAGTTTCCCGGGTCCTTCTTCAAGGAAAGACATTTGGGCCTGGAGGGCGAATGGAGTGGCGGGAATCCTCAAAGCGAGAGAGGCCTCTCCTCAGCCTCCGCGCCAGCCGCGCGTTGATTGTGAGGCGAAAAAGGCGCGCAAATGTTTCCTTTCCCGCCACGAAGAACAAACTTCTCATTTTCTTTTCCTTAGCAAACTTTATTCGGCGTTGAAAACAAAATAACCCCGCAACGCAAAGCCTCCCCTTCTGAGGCGAAAAGAGAGCCTCGCCCCGACTCGGCTTCTCCCTCCCCCGAAACTCGCTTCCGTCTCCACCTCCTCAGGCGGCCTTCGCCCCGCCGGATTCCAGAGGGGGAAATGCACTGTGCGGGTGGAAAGCTCCTCCTTCCCTCACAAAAACTTCTCCGCCCTGCTCCGAGCCAAGGAGGCGAGAGATCCTCCGCCGGGCGGTAAGTGCGGGCGGTGGCTGGCCTTGAGGGGGGTCGCGGGCGGCGCCGAGGGCTTCCTGGCCCCGCAGGCGAGGGAGGAAAAGGCGGCCGGGAAAGGAAGGCCTCCTGGGCGGGGCCAGGATTTATTGGGGGGGGGCAGGAGGCCCACCTGCCCCCATTTCTGGGGGGGGGGGATTACTCGGCGCCCCCCTGGAAATCTATCTGTCTTTAAGCGAGCAGACAGAAAGAGGCAGTGACAAATATTCATTCTTTTGTGTCTCTCTTTTTCTACCTACGTCCTACAACATCGTAAAGAAAGATGTTGTAAATAGGACACCTTGAAGCTTGAAATTATAAAATGACTCATTAAAATCAACCACAGTAACATCCGCATTGCACACAGAAAATTAAGATAACAAAGGATTACCTTAAAATAAAAATTACAAATAATCCTAATGAGAAGGATGAACCTGGTGCGCTGCTATTGATTTATTAAGGTTTGGCTCCATTTTTGGCAGCAGCAGCAACATCGTTAAATCACCTGATTAACACCTGTTTCCTTTTTTAGTTAAGAGATTTGTGACCTCGCTGAACCCACTTTCCACTAAATACGATGAAGGAAACATGGCTATAGCCAATGGGGCGGTGGGGGGGCAGCTGTTCACCCAGATCAAGTAAAACAATAAAAATACTTGACTAACTAACTAATCATGTCAGTTTTGCTGCCCTAACAAAAATCCTGGCTATGCCCATGGAAGAAAATGCAATTAAAATTGTACTACTGTATAGTCCAGAGGAGGAGGTGCCACTGTCCCACAACAGCACCTGGCTAACAGAAAAATCTGTCAAAATCTTCAGTAGGAAGTTAAATAAAATATTAAAATCATGTGCTTACCAGCATCTTCACTTTATCCTGGTGGTGACAGGTGGGCACAGCAGCAGCAAAAAGGAAAAACACAAGCTGGTATAGCTAAGAAATGGTGTTGCTGGTTCCTGCCCTTTTAATATTTCCACAATACCTCTCTGCCCCAGCGTAACATTGCTGTGGAGTAACCCTACACTGAGGCACAGAAGATACTGTGGGGGGAATCAACATGATGGGCACCAGCCACCACCACCCAGGATCTAGTGCTTAGGGTCAGCCGCAACATAGAAGACAAGCTCCTGATTATGCCCCATTTATTGCTTCTGAACATCTAGCTATTGATAGATGTATTATCCTTACATATTAACTGAACATGTCATTTTCTATTTGATAAACAGGTGGAGTGTTTATGAAGAAGGAAAACTATAAGTCCTTTAAAATGCATACATCCATGTGACAAAAGCAGTGTGACTAACTTTTCGCTATGTAGCACCTCTGTTATTTGAGCCTTCGCTATCCAAAACCACTGAATCAAGAGACGCTATGTCTTGCATCCAGCCCTGTGGCACCATAACTCTTTGTGTGAATAGCTCTTCCATTATTAAGTTGGTAATGTCATAGCTGCTGCTTTTGTGTTGCAGTAGAAATATATTCGCAGAAAGCGAATGTAATCACGACTACTGGGAGAGGCGTCAGAACCCTACAGAAAAGAAATGGCAGCTGATAAAGCCCTTCAGCTAAATAATGCAGTAAGAAGAGGATCGATCAAGACTGTCCGGCAGTTGATAGAAGAAGGTAATGATATCAATTCAAAGGTGAATGATGGATGGACAGCCCTTCACAGTGCTGTACAAATGAACGAAGAGGCGATTGCCCACCTTCTGCTGGACAGAGGAGCCGATCCACTTGCTAGGAAGGACAACGGAGCTACCCCCTTTATTCTAGCAGGGATAACAGGCAATGTTGAACTTTTAAAGCTCTTCCTTCAGAAGGGGTCGGCCATCAATGAGTGTGATTTGAATGGTTTCACGGCATTCATAGAGGCTGCTGGGTATGGGCGAGAAGAGGCCCTGAGGTTTTTGTATGAGTGTGGGGCAGATGTTAACTTGCCCAGAAATGTGGCTGATGAGGATAAAAGGGCCCTGAATAAAGGTGGAGAAACAGCCCTGATGGATGCTGCCAGGTATGGCCACTGCTCTGTTGTCAAAGTCCTAGTTGAAGAATTGGGTGCTGATGTGAACATCTGCGACAACTGGGAGAGAAATGCATTGGTCCATGCTCTCTCAGTGACTAAGAAGGATCAGGCCCAAGGCAAAGAGGCAGCTGCCCTTTTCCTCTTAAAACATGGGGCTGACGTGAATAAGAGAGATGAAGATGGGAAAACTACTTTGATCCTGGCAGCTGAAAGGGAAAGCCTAGACCTGGTGAAGGCTATATTGGAAAAAGAAGAAGTGGACGTGAACGATGCTGACAGAAACAACAAAACAGCCCTTATGGCAGCAGTGGAAATGGAAAATTATGAAATAGCGAAGACATTGTGTGAAAAGGGAGCAAGAACAGACATTGGGAACTTGATAGATATGGCCAGCCTGAATTACAACAACAGAATGATAAGGCTTCTTCGCCAGTATGGAGCATTGTCTTGTCTAAGGCAGCCAGAAATACAATGGACCTCTGCTAGCAGACACTGGCAATCCAAGCTCCGAGATCTTTATGGAAAGTATCGTCCTATGATTGGAAAACTCAAGATCTTCATGTTTCCAGATTTCCGAATTCAGACAAGTTCCCACGGAGGCGTCTACCTAGGATTCTACAATGGGGAAGAGGTGGCTGTGAAGATATTCCCCACCACTGCAGAAAATGCTAAACGAGAGAAAACCTGCCTTGAGAAGTGCCGTACCAGCAAACATCTGGTGAAGTTCTGTGGGTGGGAAGAGCAGAACTCCTCTCTCTACTTGTGTCTTTCCCTATGTGAGAAAAACCTTGAGGAATACTTCAGGACAGCAGAGACTGAGAATGGAACTATGAGAAGTAATGTTATTATTGAAACAATATTTCAGGCAGTGAAGGAACTGCACTCATTTGGATTTGGGCATCAAGATCTGCACCCAAGTAACGTTTTGATAGGTTTGTGTTTTTTCTTATATGGCTGTCTGTTGAGTGGAACCCAAGCCATTACCCAAGTGTAGTTGAAAGAATTTTATGAAAGAAATATGGAGTAGCAGGTTTTCAATTTTATGGTGTAAACCAAGGATGGGGAACCTGTGTCCTTTAAGATACTGTCGGCTAGCAAATCCCATAATCTCGGAACATGGAGCTGATGGGATTTGGAGTCCAGCACTAACTGGAGCACCACAGGTTCCCTACACCTGGGGTGGGGGGTGGGAATTGGCTAGCCAATCATCTGCAAGGGGTCAGAAATTCAGATCCAACAGCAAGCATGTGAGCAGCATAGAAGAATAGTTACACACACAAGCTGAAAGAAACAGCAGCAGATATTGGAGATTTATTACAGGGAGTGAAATGGGATTGACTCTCTGGTGACATACCAAACCATTGGATATTCTAAGCTGTAGTGGTCATAGCGCCCTGCATTTTCCTCTTCTAACCAGCAGCCTCACTGGTGCAAGGCACAGTCTGACCCCCTCCTTTGGTAATCCTCATAGAACACTAGCCCAATGGTTGCCATTAATTTGATCCTGAATTGATTTTAGAATTAATTGATTGTGATTTTATGTAAACTGTGTTACTTTTATTGTTGTTAGCCACTCTGAGCCCGGCTTCGGCTGGGGAGGGCAGGATATAAATAAAATTATCATTATTATTATTATTAAGGAAGGAGAGATTCCAGCTCAGGAATAGAATATCTGCTTTTCAGGCAAAAAGTTAATTATGTTCAACCCCCAGCATCTCCAGGCAGGGTTGGGAGAGACTCCTGTGTGGCCCTGCGGAGAGCCACTGCCAATCAGAGTGTAAACAATGTTGAGTGCAGAGGGACCAATGATCTGACTAGATAAGGTAGCTTCCTGTGATCCTAGACTGCACTCTACTCACCCAGCTCCCAGATCAAGCCGTCTGGAAGCTGACGCCACCATCCCAAATCTTGAGAATAATTTCACTACACCTTTTTACTGCTTCAGAAATGTGGCCCGCCCCTCCAATAGATCTCCACTGTTTACTTATTTATTATGCACTAATACTTCGAATATTAGGATTTCTCCTCTGCATTATATCCCCTCAACAAATCTGGAATGTAGGACTAAGCAGATGGATGGATGGTTTCAGACAGAAGTCATTCTGGTTCTACCTGGAGAACAACCTACACCAGGCACCCCCCAAACTCGGCCCTCCAAATGTTTTGGGACCAAAACTCCCACCATCCCTGACCACTGGTCCTGTTAGCTAGGGATGATGGGAGTTGTAGTCCCCAAACATCTGGAGGGCCAAGTTTGGGGGTGCCTGACCTACATATTCAGATAAAAAATTAAGTTCTGTTGGCATCTACATTAGGGTGGCAAATCTTTTTAGGATCAAAGGTCACATTGCCATGTTGTGACTTCCAGTAACTGAGCGTGGGGGGGTGGGTGGGGAGTCCCTGAAGTGATAGTAGTGCTTGAGGTGAATATTTATTTATCATACTTCTGTGCTGCCTCAACATCAGAAATATAAAAACAATACATTTCAAATAAAACATAAAAGCTAAAAGCAGCAGAGATAAAGCGAAACTAGTCAACAATACCATAAAAATGTTCATGGCACAGACACACCTTTGATGTTTTAAAATAATAAAGTGTCAAAATCTCAAAAATCCACAGAAATCAAAAGCCCCTAAGAAGCCTTGGGAAATGAAAATGTCTTCATTTGACCATAAACAGCAATACAAAGTAGGCATCAGGTGGACTCTCTGGGGAGGCCATTCTATAACTGGGTATAACAGCTGAGAAGGCCTTCTCCCTAGCAACCACCAGCTGGCTCTCATTAGGCAGGGACATGCAGAGAAGAGCCTCAAGCGCTGACATGAAGTTTCACGTAGGTTTGCATGTGAGCAGGTGAATTGGCTGCTCTTGTTGAATCTTGAAAGTTTCCAATATGTACTCTTTCCCCACAAAGCATTCAATACACAAAGATGTGAAAACCATTCCGCTTGATTGCTTCCACTTATGTATTTATTTATTTTGCTAGATGTCACAGGCAAGGTTTTTCTAGCAGATTTTGATAAGTCCAGAAAAATAGATGATGAAAAAGATCTTACCATCACAGAAGATCTGCAGGTAAGTGAGCCTCCTCTGCAGTTGCCTCCCCAGCCTTCTATATTTGCAGAATGATCATCCCCAACCATTAAGGCAATGTAATGTGTGTTTGTGCACAATATACTTTTATGTTTAACCATAACGTAGAGTTGGGTTGAATGTTCGTCCTACTCAGAGTAGCCCCATTGAAATCTGGCTAACCTAAGATCAATAATTCCAATGAGTTTACCCAAACTTTGCCCGGTTCAATTTGTATTTATTTATTTGATTTCTTACCAGCCCTTCACCAAAAGGTGCCAGGGTGGAGTACAACAGTTTTAAATACAATACTGTATTATTGGAAACATTTTAAAACAAATTAAAGTCATGTGAACATGGTAGATCCTGAAAATGAGTATATCAGGTGCATGGTTCAAATTTATTCAATAATAAATTGACATCAAGTTCTTTTTAAACAAAAAAACAAACACCAAAAATGACAAACATACACGTATAGTTTCAAACATATTTTCATAAACTTCTTTCCTTTGACTTCCCCATACCCCCCCTCTCTGCATCCCAGTGTCCAAAGTTCAACTAGCAACTCCCAATTGTTATTTTCCAATCTCTATCTTCTTAGTCCTTTTTTAAATTTCTAACCTTATATCCCTGTATCCCTTTGTTTCTGGAAACCGCAACATTTTAGCATTCATTAAGTTTATAGTAGTCCTTAAGATAACTTTTAAATTTTCTCCATTCTTCTTCCACCGTCTCTTTTCGTTGGTCACGGATTCTGCCTGTCATCTCGGCCAATGTCATATAGTCCATCACTTTCATCTGCCATTCTTCCAAAGTGGGTAGATCTTGGGTCTTCCAATACTTTGCGATGAGTATTCTTGCTGCTGTTGTAGCATACATAAAGAAAGTTCTATCCCTCTTTGTCACCAATTGGCCGACAATGCCCAAGAGAAAGGCCTCTGGTTTTTTCGAGAAGGTACATTTGAGTACCTTTTTGATTTCATTATAGATCATTTCCCAGAAGGCCTTAATCTTCGGGCATGTCCACCAAAGGTGGTAGAAGGTACCTTCAGTCTCTTTACACTTCCAACATTTGTTATCGGGCAGATGATAAATTTTTGCCAGCTTGACTGGGGTCATGTACCACCTGTAAATCATTTTCATTATAAGAATGTTAATTGCTAGTTCTGGTCCCAGGAGTTCTTTCTGGTAACAGTGTCATTGTTTTTTGTGAAATTTTTAATTTCCTGTATAAACCCCAGTATAGTCGTAACCTGGAAGTCGAATGGAATCCATTCCGGAAGGCTATTCAACTTCCAAAATGTTCGGAAACCCAAAGCACAGCTTCTGATTAGCTGCAGGAAGCTCCTACAGCCAATCAGAGCTGCGGAAGCCCCATCGGACGTTTGGGTTCCAAAGAATGTTCGCAAACCGGAAGACTCACTTCCAGGTTTGCGGCATTTGGGAGCCAAAATGTCCAAGTACCAAGGCGTTCAAGATCCAAAGTACGACTGTAGATTATAGAATTTAATAACCTGTCAGTGCAGCCCTGTGTTTCTAAGGGCCAAGTTTGATTCCAGTCGTGGTGGTGGGAATCTGATCAGGACCATAGTGGTGGAGAACGAGTGTGTGCCGGGGGATGGTATCTAAACATTCCTCCAACATTTTTTCCCCAGATTGAAATTACCCCCATCTGCTATTTAGTCTCTAGGGCAGAGGTACTGAACAAGCTGTAGTATAATCCTATTCTAACATTTTACGTAGGTTTCTACATGCAAGGGGTGTGTTTGTGTGTAGAAACATTATGTCATGTGATTGTGTTACTTGCAATTTAAACTGACAGCCGAGACACAGATTTTTAGCATCTCGGCAAGAACTAAGCCCAGGCACATAGGATAAAAGCGTGATTCCTGTCTACTTGCCCAAGAATGACATTCTGTGTTGTGAAGTCGTATTGCCATTTGTTCTCACATGTAGGCTCTCGGAAGTCTAGCCCTGTATGTTGCTATGAGGGGGAGAATCCCCTTTGAAACCTTGCCTGCACAGTGTCCAAAGGATGTCAATGATCACTTTGAAATAGAAGACCTCAGAGCAAGACTGGAATCTCCTGATGAAAACATCCCAGTCACTGAGCAACTGGGACAGTTGATCTACCATCCTTATTTCTGGAGCAAGAAGGTGTAAGTACTAAATAAATACAGGAAACTTAGCAACTATCCATTCTTATCATTCTACCTTCCTCAGTTTGATTTGCCCTGTTACTACAACAGCATGGAAGAAGAAACTTTGCAAGTAGGATTAGAATGACATTTTGGGAAAATGTTTTAATCCATTCATTTCTGTTTTTTTAAATCTTAAGTTTTGCCTTCTGAATTGAAGCTCAGAAGTAGATTACGCTGCTTTATATGTCTTTGTTGCTTATAGACTGTCATGTGTTTTGTCATGTTGTTTAAAATATAATGAATGTTCAGGCTGGGTTGTTGTCCCTCATGTGAAAACCACATGGCTAATCATTAATGTAAAATAAAAATAATGCAGTCAAACCTTGCTTGTCAAATGTAATCCATTCTGGTTACAGGTCGGTAGCCGTGTTGGTCTGCCGTAGTCGAAACAAAATAAAAAAATACCTTCCAGTAGCACCTTAGAGACCAACTAAGTTTGTTATTGGTATGAGCTTTCGTGTGCATCCGTTCTGGAAGACTGTTCGACTTCCGAAATGTTTGACAGCCAAGTTGCAGCTTCCGTTTGGTTGCAGGAGCTTTTTGCACTCAAGCAGAAGCCACGTTGGACGTTCAGGTTCCAAGGAACATTCGAAAACTGGAGCATTTACTTCTGGGTTTTTGGCATTAGGGAGCCAAAACGTTTGAATATGGAGCCATTTGAGAACTGAGATTTGACTGTATATATATTTCAGTAAATAACTGCAGTGAACTTTGGATAGTGAGTTTGCTGCAGATATGACAGCACATTGATGCAGTATTGATATTATTTGTCATTGCTAGCCATCAAATACCAAATGTTGAATATGAACTATGTGATGTGCAATCGGCACTGAAATCCATGCACTAAGATTTAAGGGATCAATGTCTGATTCTACGCTACTATTTAGGGCTCTGAAAATCCACCTTCATGCCTAACAAAAAAATCTCAAGAGACTTTAAGAGGCAGAAACACACATTTCAAATTGGTTTTGCACAGCCACAATAATAATGCCACATCTGGAGAGCCACAGATTAGCCACACTGCATTAGATGGTAATGTGTCAGGGAGAGGAAAGGCAAAATCAGAGTTTTGTTATAAAAGGCAGCTTGCAGAGCAAGGATGCCCCTTCCTTGCATATGACAGGAGTTAATGGGTGCAGTATACCTGCCCCAGGAGAAGAGAGGAAGCTGCTTCATTCTAGGTCAGACTATTTGTCTATGTCTTGGTGTTGTCTACTCTGCCTGGTTCCAGGGTCTCATTGCCTGCTACTGGGTCCTTTTAACTGGCAATGGCAGGTGTTGAAGCTGGGACCAAGTGTGTGCTCTGTCCTTTCCCAGTCTCTGAGACCAGCCTTACCATATGGCCACCTTGGCTCTTTGGGTTCTTAGTAATTGCCTTTTGTTTGCCAGGAGATACAGGGTCTTAAGAGACGTTGGGAATGAGAGCGATATAAAGACACGCAACACTCGGCACCATAACAGCACTAGTGAAATTCTGAAGGCTCTGAATAGTGAGGAAGATCCTTTCAAGGACTGGACTGAAAAGGTAAGTGATCTCTTGCAGCCTCCGTATGAAAGCTTCAGCTGTGTTGATTTGAACCGCCACATTTGACCTCTTTTCCTTCTGCATTGTCAGTGCCAGTGCTTCATCACTTCTCAAAGGCATGAGGGCAACGTAAGTGCATAGCAAACAGCTTAGGTCTGATTCACGACTTTACGATATGTATACCTGGTCCTGGGCAAGTATCTGTCTGGTCCTGCAAGACCATTCTTATGTGTGTGAAATGATTTGCCGTTAGATCAGATTTTAAACACAGTTGTACCTCGGAAGTCAAACAGAATGTGTTCCGGAAGTCCATTCAACTTCCAAAGTATGGCTTCTGATTGGCTGCAGGAGCTTCCTGCAGCCAGTCAGAAGCTGTGGAAGCCCCGTGTCAGGGAAGAGTTAGAGTTAGAAGTTTCCAGTTTCCCAGAGGGAGAAAGCATTCCCCAAGGGGGGAGGAGAGCAGTGAATCTAACAGGAACAAGAGGGAGGGACCGGCTGTTCCCAGGAAAGGAAAGGCTTCAGTTCTAGCTCAGATTGGGAGGAGGGGAGAGACAAGCCAGCTCTGGCCAGGAGGGTAGGAAAAGAGCGGGAAAGCGAAGAGAAGGGTGCCTTCGCCATTTTGAGGGTGGCTGGTCACGGAGAAGCAGAGCTCAGAAGGTAGCTGAAAGAAGTGACTCTGAGGAAGAAGAGTTAAGAACCATTTATAAGATTGTTTTGTTAATACACAATAAAAAGTTTTATAAAAGAACAAGAAGCGTTTGTGTGGTGATCTGAAGAGCACAATGACCAGTCCTGACATCCTGTTGGACATTTGGCTTCCAAAAGAAGGTTCAGAAACTGGAACGCTCACTTTTGGTTTTCAATCATTTGGGAGCTGGAACATTCAACTCCCAAGGCGTTCGGGAGCCAAGGTATGACTGTACTGTACTGCAAAATCTTCCAAGCAATATAAATGGAAACTGTTTCAATAAATTAACCAATATAGTATTCTAATAACCAATATAAGTCATACTTCATGCCATTCTGTCAAATGCATATCCTGTATATTTTTGTGACTTGGAATCTGCCAGCTTGCAGGTCTACATGGAAACTGTATTGTGAGGAGTGGGTTTCGTGGACCCAGATTAATGACAGGGGACATGTGTTTTTTTCAGATTGATAAGGATGTATTGGACTGTATGGTTGGTCCCTTTAATGAGAAGAAAAAGAATAAGAAAAACAATAAAGATTATGAAAACTGTGTGACGGATTTACTGAAGCTGATCAGGAATATGGGGGAGCACTTCAGTGAGAAGGATGAGAAGTAAGTGAGAGTTGTTTTTTCTAGATTTGCAGCTGTACTTCCTCTTCTATAAACCAGTACTGTGTGAATAGATAATCACATCTTTGAAAAGGCCACCTAGTGGTCAAGTGGAGTTTTGCACCTCAGCTGCCAGCTTCAAGTCAAAGGGCTAAACTGCTTCCTTTTGTGCTGCATTTTTAGGCACAGGTCCGGGCTTTAAGACGCCGTGTTTGAGTGCATTTTTTTTTATCCCAGCACTATGCCCAGGAAAACCCATGCTTTGATGTTGGATCAGAGCATACAGCAAAAGGGTTTTCCGTGGATTGGCATTTGCTCCAATTCAAAGACCAGCATTCACATTCTATTTTAAAAAAATACAAATCTAAACTACTGCTTTCTTACATACTGGAATTAAAAGGATTCACATTTTCCTCTATTTCAGGGTGAAGGAAATAATCAAGGAGCCAGAAGACTATTTTCTGAACCTTTTCCCAAATTTAACAACTTATGTCTACCGGACTTTGCATAATATACAATATGATAAACATTTTCCGAATGCACAAAATTCTTCTCAGCTATAATGGGGACCAATAGACAGAGATTCTTCATGAGAGTTCTCTTCTGTTTCAAGCTGTAAGAATAATTAAGAGGCAAGCAACATGTCCCTCTTTTTCTGAGCCTCTTTCCAGAATTAATCATTTTCATCTTGCCAGAATTTGTGCAACACAGGATGATATATATTCTCCAAGCGCTCAGAACCCTTTTCATTTGCGATGAGAATCGGCAGCAGTTGATTCTTGCACGTGACTCTTCTGCCTTTCTTCAGTTTGCCCCATTCAGCTAAGATACCAGATAAAGTCAAATAAGAAAGTCAAATAAGAAAGCTGCAGCACATGTAATATAAAGAGACAGAAAGGAAGGTTGTGGCTGGCAGAAGGGAGCTTTAGTTGTCTATGCATTTGCGAAGCTTGTTTGCTTGAAATTGAGGCTTTCTCTCACCTACCAGCAAAACATCAATCCAGATGTTGTATAATTTCCTGAATTTTATGCTCTGCAGTGGAAAGAGAAAATAAATACTTTCTATTACATTCTGCAGTTGTTTGATCTTGGATTGCTCAACAAATGCAAATGAAACTGCAGTCAAACTACAGCAGTTCTCTTTAGTGTGCTTGCCCAGAAATGTTGCTACTTCAGATGTCCATGCATTTCCATACTGCAGAGCTGCAATAAGGCAGTCTACAACTTCAAGTTTGGTATCAACCATGTCAAATGCAACTTATGGTGGGCTTAGATTCTTGGCAATATAGCTGCAACTAATAGAGCTTCCATTGCCATTGCACAAAAACAAGGTGGATGCAAAAGGCCCCCTTGGGTCTGACACAGATCCCTGCCAAAGGAAACTACATTCTACATTCATGTTGAACTACAGAAAGGACCATGGCTGTCATGGTGGACTTTGGAGTTTAAAATTTCAATGGCACCCTGAGCAACACCAAAATTTGCCCCTCCCTGCCTCTCATCTTCCATTGTTTATCATTGCTGCAACACCCCTGCACCCCTCTTGGCTCGGTGCCCTGTGCAGGCGAACCAGTCATGCTCCCCTAAATCCACTTCTGGTTGCTGGCCTAAAGCCTGTTCCAGGAAATGAGGGGGGGGTTGGGGTATTGGTTAGATGTCTTGGCATCTTCAGAGGACTCCAATTTGCTGCCCTTCAGAATAATACTAGGTTAGCTTGATAAGTGTCTGATCTCTGTGTAATTACAAGGCCCTTGAGATGATGGGTGGGCACCCTCCCCTCCTCCCTCTGAGGGCTCTAATGGGCTTCCTGGTGGCAACAGTGGGCTGCATCCATGCTCGGAGAAGGACCAGGCAGATGTGTGCCTGGGTGGCCCTTTTAATTTCCCACAATGTAGCACAGCTGTGGGGTTGGGAATCAAAATGGCAGCTAGAAATTTAAAGGGAGGTTCATACCACACATTGTAAGTTAGGAGGCATCTGTTAGGGTTCTGGGACCCTAACAGTTGCCCAAGAATGCTGGGTCCTGGCATCTGCTCTGGTGGCCTCTGCCTGTCCCATCTGCTCTCTACTGTGTGTTGGTCCCTCTAAGAATAATATTTTTTTTTATATCCCGCCAATCTGGCTGGGATTCCCCAGGCACTCTGGGTGGCTCCCAACAGAATATTAAAAACACAATAAAACAGCAAACATTAAAAACTTCCCTAAAACAGGGCTGCCTTCAGATGTCTTCTAAAAGTCAGATAGTTGTTTATTTCCTTGACATCTGATGGGAGGGTGTTTCACAGAGCGGGAGCCACTAGCGAGAAGGCCCTCTGCCTGGTCCCCTGTAACCTCACTTCTCACAGTGAGGGAACCATCAGAAGGCCCTTGGAGCTGGACCTCAGTGTCCAGGTATACTGGGCTGAGGCCATTTAAGGTTTTAAAGGTCAGGGCCAACACTTTGAATTGTTGCCTATCTGACAGCTTTGGAACACTGGGCAAGGACAATCAGTTTATGTCACTCAAGATTAGTTCTGAGGTACTTCAAAAGAGTAAGGTGAGCGATGGAATGACAGGCATTGGCAGTGGGGTGGCGACCTTGTGACAGGGTGAAGGAATAAATTCTGAGAGGGAAGGCACCCAGGCTGAGAAGGCAAAACTCCCATTAAGTGAGTGTGGCAAAATTAGGACTCCCCTGGTGCACAAAGGGGGGGGGTACTATTGGACGGTGTGGATGGTTTATTCCCTGGGAGCACCTGTTTTGAACCAATTTACTGGGATCTTCACACTGAATTACTTGTTATAAACAACTTAAGGGATTAAAAAAAAGTCTGTATTGACAACATTGCTATTACAGGTATTCAAAAATGCCCTTAAAATAACACTTCTCTTTTCTTTGCAATTCAAGCTTAAATCCATGAAGATTGGGTCTTCAATGCTTGTTCTAATTCATACATGTAAACTCTAAAACCTCTCCACTTGATCTAAGGGGATCTAAAATGTAAGGTTTCTTTTACTTAAATGGAAGGAGAAAAACTTCACCATTACAAATTGCATATTTTACTAGAACAGGCAAAGAAATTTAAAAGTGCTTGTGTAAACCTCTAATGGTTGATACCATCCCACACCAACCCCACACACTGCTCTGCTGATAGGAAATTCTAGCAGCAATAGGGAAATGGCTGGGCTAGATTTGGAAGTCCATCAGGCCAGAGGTCCTCATCTCTGCTTTAGGGACATAAGAAGATTGCTGAGCCCTTCATCGACAAATATGGAGAACCTCTCCCATCTCACCCAAGAGAACCCCGTGACCTAGTGAATGCAGTTTTGTTAAAGGACTTCAGTCCTGACCTGCAGTGAAGTTTTGTCATCCAGCAAGAAATGCCTGCAATAATCTTTTCCATGATGCCCAGACAAGGAACAGTGTGAGATCAAGTTATATCAGTTTATTTCCAGCACCTACAGATGAGGTCCTGTGCAGAAGAATATATAAATAAGAAGAGTCTTCATAAACTGCAATCTGAAACAACAGCTTAGAAGTCTTTTTGGCATATATGCAGTCAATCAATTAATTGCAATTACATGCAAACATGACCTCCTGGCTGTACAGCAGTATTAAACGTGTAACTGAGGTCATACACTCAGTTTTATTTAGATATTTATTTAATTTATATCCCACTCTTCATCTAAGGATCATAGGGCAGTTTAAAGTATAAAAACATATAAGACAGTAACAAACCAAACCAAACAATATTCAACACTATAAAGCACATTTGAAACACATTATCACAGTTTCAAGCACCCAGAATTCTTTGAAAGAGTTTCCTTTAAAGGTATGTTGTAAACACAGCTTAAGAGCACTCTCGTATATCGCTGTAACTGTCATGACTTCCCACAAAGAGTCCTGGGAAGTGTAGTTTAATATTAGCTCTGTGAGGGGTCTCCCAACAACTCTCAGCACCCAAACTACAATTCCCAGGAATCTTTGGAGGAAGCCATAACTGTTAAAGTGGCATAAGAGCGCTTTAAATAGTGGATAAATAGTGGATATAGTGGATGTAACCTGAAATAGCCAGTTCGTTGCCAATAATTTACTTTAGCTTGTGTGCCACAATCCTCTCTAATCATGGCGGTTATGTCAAGCATATGTGACTGTTCTTGACACAAACAATTTAATATTGCAATCAACATAAAATCAGTTCATGCTTCTCATTTTTTCGTTTTGCTCTTGAGTGGGTATAATTCTGCACAAGTTAAGCACTTGGGTCCCATTCATTTCAGCAGGAGGATTAAACTTGGTATTCCAAATGTGACTTAAACATGTCTAATTTTGATTTGCTAGTGCCCTAAGATTTTAGTTTCCCTGGGTACCTACCGTCTCTGGGGCACACTTATGGTTGTTGAAGACTTTCTTAATGCTTCTAAACTCCCCACTGAAGCTGAGGGTAGAAAAAGAGACAGCGTATTGTATCTGACGCAGTCGTACGAGGCAGCTGAACTGTTCTAAGACTGTTTTTTCATCCTTCCACCCCAACCAAGGAAGGAGCTATCTAGACAACCATCAGGCATTTTGTCTGTTTATAACTCTGCAATTCTTTGTTGAGCTATTTTATTGGGTGGTAGTGGTGACTCAATGGGTGGAATTAAGCTGTGACTGGATAGGGTCAGGGTCAGGTCCTTTGGCTGGATCTTTGCCCCTCCAGACTGGTGGTTTATTACGACTAAACAACTAAAAAAACAACAACAAATTCTGCGACATCTGCTTGACACAGTAACAGTGCAGATTTCTTTTGCTTTGGTTCCGCTTGCATAATGCTACCACATTATTGCTATTCTGAGAGGCTATAGCACAACAAAAGGAGGACAAAAATAAACTGGAGCATTTGTGGTATAAAAAGTTTCAGGCAAAAAAGAAAGCAAGCATGGAATATGCGCTGATTGGCTCTGAAGCCGAATGACGGCCCCCAAACATCTGCAGTCCCAGATAGCCTTGAAAGTGGATGCACATGTGATCCTCCCAATACATTTGCGTGGGACATCCCACAATTACAGAGGCTATCCTGGGTTCTGAATGCATCTTGGAATGTCCCATTTTTTGGTCCGGTGCTGTTGCACGAACCAGCTGGCTTGCACCAGTGAGCTGGACCAAAAGATGCTCGTTCTTTGCTCTCGCGCTCTTGCAGAAGTCCTCTGGCTCCTGCAAGAGCTTGGGAGCAAAATGAGCATCTGATTTTGTGGGGTGTTAGAGGGCAAGCCAATGCTGTCATGAGCACAAATCATCATTGTTGCACAATAAAATAATAATAATGTTCGGAGGGGCTCTAGTGTCTCAGCTCATATACTGTTTCCTGACCAGCTGCAGTCTGGAAGCTGAGAGAATTTAGTAAGGGACCCCAACCCTGCCACTCTGTCCACCAGCCTTACTTCACCTTGGAGAAGAGTTAGACTTTGAGTACCAATCTTAGCTTGAGTGTCCAAAGTTCTTGGAAATGCAGGTTACAAAGATGGCTGGGTTTCTGTTGGGAATTCCAATGTCTGGGTCGACTTGTCTTGGGTTCAGTTCCTAAGGCTAATTCTGTCATTGAGGCTGAGTCATGCCAGCATGTCCCTGGCACCGAACTATCTCTAACATGTAACCCAGCCAATTCTGGGTCAAACTGGAAGCGGTAGATAATGTATATCCTGAAGTGCTGAGATAATTCAACAACTTTTGTTTTATCCCCCAACACTTGCAGCATGGCTGCAGGATTGCTCATAAGGAGAAATTATACACAAAGATTGCAATGCATGTATCTTGGGCAATTGATCTGGCCATGAGGGTCCTTAGCAGGAGAGTCCCCAAGGTGGCAGCTCTGCGAGAACTCCCCTGCCCCGCCACCATTGCCACAGAAGTGGCACGAGTATCAGCCCAAATCACACCTGAAATCACAAGAGTTTTTGCAGAGTGCTTCTCTACCAGTGGCAGAAGTGGGCAGGCAGGCAGAGAAGTGGTGCCAGTAGCAGGAGGGCAGGGCAAGGTGGCACTTCCCATTTTGCCTCGAGCAGCAAAACAGGACACACCACCCTGGTTCTTGGGCCCCTGTGGGAGATCAGA